TAACTGCACAAATGTTCTTCAAGGCAAGATTAAGCGTATGCACAACACATGGTGTTCAAAAAATATGAGGATAGGCTTGCTCTACAAGTAGACATGCAGCTATACAAAAAAGTTCATTATCAGTAATGACCTGGATGATGTTTGAAGGCCCCACCATCATGATAACTTCTTAATCTACATGAATTTGGAACATGAAAATTTTTATTTAAAAGTATAGATATGTTGCGCCTATGCCGGGGGTCCAAGGGGCAGCGCCCCCGGAACAAATTTTTATTGTAAGAGTTGCTTTAAAGTTTTCTCTACCTTCTCGGTACTTCTTGGTACCATTCAGTACCCCTCTATACCGAGTAGTACCAAGCAATACCGAGTGGTACCTAGTTCCGGTACCGAGCGGTACTAAGTTCTAGTATCACTCAATACCGAGAGGTACCGAGCAGTATCGAGTACCGAGCTGTACTGAGTTCTAGTATCACTCGGTACCGAGCAATACCGAGTGATACCGAGTACCGAGGGGTACCGAGCAGTACTGAGCGATACCGAGTACTGAGCGATACCGAGTACTGAGCGGTACCGAGTACCAAGCGGACCGAGTTTTGGTATTAAGCCTACGATTAAGAAAACGAAGAACGAAGAAAACGAACCTTCAATGCTCACATCGCCTTCACCGTTCGTGTTGTCGAACCGCTCCGTCAATGAAGGATTTTGTCGGCTTTAATGCTCGCGTCGTCGAGTCTCTTTTCTCTTTGTCAACGAAGGATGATCTTCTCCGCTTCTATGCTCACGTCGTCGAGCAGCTCCTTAGACTATAATGAAGAAGACGATTATGCGGAAACGAAAAACCTAGCTCGTCGAAATGTTTAAGCCGCATAAATGAATAGGGATATCGAGCGAGATAGCCAAAATGAATAGGGCAAATTGCGGCTCTATTTTTTTTTAATAGGACATGTATATCTGATACGCGTGTCCGATCAAATTTAAATAATATTTTAACTGGACAAGGCAAAGTCATATCCGACACGTATCCGTGCCGTATCGGAGGCGTATTCATATCCGACACGTGTCCAATACAGCACGGCTTGCAAATAGGCGTATTCATGCAACATAGATAAATACACAGCCGTAAAATTCACAAGGATATTTTGTTTTACATTCTGATGCTATCAAATATTTATGTATTTTTATTTGAACATTAGTATGCTTTATGTTCTTTTCTTTTTTTAGCTATCCAATGATGGGAAAGCATCCAATGAACATGGTAGGTTGTGCGTGGGGCTTGGTAGACCTTTAGTTTGCTGGCTCAATTGGTCCTTGGCTGCAGCTGGTTCACGGTTTAGTTTATGGTCCACGGTTTTGTGGCCTATGGTGATGTATGGAGAAGGTTGGAATTGAGCTCATTTGTTGCTAGCTCATTAATGATGAGCTGAAGTTTAGTAGCTCATTAATGTTCTAAAGGTAAGCTCATAAGTTGGATTCAATTTTTGGAGTGGACTTGTCCCTTCTCCTTCCCCTTTCTTCTTTAAAATATTCCCTTGTCTCTTGGGAATCCGTGGCTATGTTTGGGCTTCCTGTGCTGGATTAATTCCGTGCCTTTTCTCCTTGGGTTTTCGGCTGGCTGTTGGTTTTTTCGAGATGGGGGCTTTTCCGTGCATTTTGACGCCTTGGTTCCGTGGTTGCCTCTTCGGTTCTTTGACTGGACTGTTTTTCCATGAAAAGCAATGGGAAAATCCGTGACTTATGATGCTTGGGTTCTTCTGGAAATTCAATAAAGTGGTTGTTGGCATTCTCCTTTCTTACCTATAAATATGAGAGGTTTAGTGATGAAAGGGGAGTTGATTATTGTGAGCAAATTTGCTATTGACCTGTGGGTTATTGGAAAAGCTTGCGAACTTGTTCCATTCTTCTACTCCACCTCCTCTGGAAATCTTGCGAGCTCTTTCCACCCTTTATCTTGGCTTCTAACATCTTTCGTCTCTCCGCAAGTATCACTCCATCTGCATCCTTCTTCTCGAGCTTTAGTAGTGTTTGTTGGTTGACTTGGAAGCATTTGTTGGAAGAATTGGACGATCTTGCAGTGGTGGACCATCAGTTTGATAGCCCTATGCACTTATCTTATTTAACCTACATTTCGATGCATGTGAGGAACCCTGTCTGACGGTTGTCTGAGGATAGCGTTGTTTCTATTTTCTTTGTTTCTTTAAGTCTCTTCGTGTTTTCTTTGTTGGATTTTGAATGTTATAGATGATTGCTACTATTTGAATAGAGTCTTGTTTGAGTTCTATCCATTGTTCTCTTTGTTTCAGTTTTCTTACAGTTGTGCTTACATCACATTCGCAATAGTGTTTCAATATATTCAACAAAGAAAATTCATTATAAAAAAAAAGCAAACACTTAGGTCCGCCACTCATATGATATCTCACAAAATTAACACTTGAACTCGATCTTCTGTTAGCAAGTAGGTAGAGTTGACAAATTTTAAATAATAAAATAAAATTATTTAAATACCCTGACGATGATCGTGTTGACAGGGTGAACCTTGCTCTTAAAATGACACCAAATTCTAAAATTAATCATTTGGGACTTAAACACTAATAAAAATTTAAAAATCCAATATTTGACAAATTCAAAATATATTCAATCGAAAGTTATTGTTTATAACGTAAAGTAAAATCCCTTCACCAACTACAACTATTTGTCGAAGGTGATAAATTTAAAAATAATCACAGCTTAGAAAGAGCAAATGTCTTGTCAAGCATATTATTGTGATTCATTCTCAAAGGATATGTCATAAGTAAAAACATGATATATGTTCTCTAGGTACTGGTTTACAATCAAATGACATCGTAGATAAATGATTGTGATTGCGACCTTCTGATCAGATGATTTCACCATAAAATGACATCATTAAACTATGATCATAGCCAAAGCCCGCAAGTTTTTCAATTGTTGAAATCGTTGAGTAATGAATCATAAGGTGCAATTGATAAAACACAAAACCCTCTGTTAACTAAGGTTGATTTAAATTTATCTCCTTAAACAAACATCCACCCCATAACTATAAAATTCCTTGGACAAAGCAATGTATAGTTGCTGACAAGAATCCTTCAATCAGGTTCGGTCTATGACAACCTAGAACGATAAAATCATGAAAATTTGATCGGGTTCATTATCATCCCTTCCAATAGCTGTTTTAAATTTAAAACAGTAAATTTCTCAATCCTAAAGCAAATTTGATGCTACTATACGCTAAACACTTAGCTTATAAAGACAAGCCTTAATCAAAAGTCTCTCTTATCATCGAGAGATGTAATTAACCATAAGGGCTTACCCTAATGAAAAATCTAGAATTAGATTATAAATTCTTTATAAAATTAGAGTGAAATATATCGGTGGTATCTAATTCACAATTTAATCCACATTTTAAAAATATGACCCACAAAACCCAAAAACTCTATCAGCAGAGCCATGGCATGAATTTTTAGAGCTCATAAATTTCTAACGACTCCTCTGGTGAAAATTTATTTTCCCATCATCACATGGTCATATAATAGTAGCAAAAGTGTCACGACCTGGCCCAAATACTTGAACTTAACGAGGCAACAACTGACAGTCGGACGGTTAATACAATTACTATAATTACATATAACAGTAATTTCTAACAAACAATCCATAAACACTTAAGAGACACTAATAAAAAATTTCATCAAACTACTAATAAAATCTTTCACATACTTAACACTTATATAAACCATAAATTATCTGCTTGCATTTGTGCACCGTATTTTGTAGACGTATTCATCTTCTCTTTCAGCCATTTCTATTTACCAGGAGACTTACCTCAAAGTTTAGTTTAATAGATTGAGCTTACATGGTAAACTTAGTGGGTATTCACCATTTCATATGCAACAGTTAGTCACATAAAATAATCAAATAAAATAAACATACATCTTTCTTATTTAACTTTCTTACATAATTAACATATGCAAATTCTTTCATATACTATAAGTTTTATAATTTATTTTTCATATAAATTACTTCATATTCGATTTCATCGGTCCACTTCCACTTTACATTTCTTCCTTTTTTTATATATTTAATTCATTTCCATTTTCATTAGTACAAGAGCCCGTCTAAATGTACCAATAAAGGTAAAACCATTTTCATTTCTATTTCTTTTTCCATCTCCCCATGCTCATATCTTTTACTTTGCTCCATTGAATTACATGATTCATAGAAGAAATAAAACTGTAAATACAACCTTATAATTTATCTTTCAAGTTTTTTTTATATGAATATGTGGCATGGTCATCATTGACTTATCTTAAGCCATATAAAACTATATTTGATCATGATTCCCTGTGACTAGGTTTAATCCCTCACATAAATGTGTCATAGAACATTATTTTTAGTAATCATAAACTTAGCATTTCCCTCTCAAGCTATCATTTATAGCAATTATCACGTTATAAATTTTTGTTGTTACCATGACATCTAGAAATCTTTATCATATTTTGAAACACAATAAAAAATCATCTAGGGAATGCTATGGTGGGTGATATCTAAAGATGCTCCAAGTATTGTGGAGTATTCTAGCCTTGAATCAATATAATAAGATAGTTTTGTAGTTTAACCTTGGAGTATTGCATTTATAGCATCTACTAAGTCATTTTGACTACCCATATGTTTATCACATAAGAAGACTTTGATGTACATTGAGTTGTAGGAGTTTGTGGCATTTATATTGCTTTAAAGATAAAAATGGAACACAAACATGTGTTATATGCCTCCTCTTGTTATTTAGTTGATCTAATTTGAAGCTATTGCAAGAAATTATCATCAGTTGTGCAAGCACAGACTAATATTATGGAATCTCACTAAAGGGCCTGTGGAATTGAGAAATGCACTGCATTCCTATGAATTATACAATCTTCAAACTCAAATTTTAGAATGTATACGATGTCATAAGAAATATACTTGTAACTGGATATTCTCAGGACGTCTACCTCTGGAGCCACATAATTTGGAGTTCCACAAGTTGTTTGAAGAAGTTTAACTCCCTGCACCTCAGAAAAAGAATGAGATGAAGAAAGTATTGGGAAAAGTATAACAAATGCATTACCAAACCAATAACTTTGAAAATAAAAACCAGTGCTTCTAGTTTACAGCTTTAAGTGTGTCAGCTTATCCTAGTTTTTGAAACAAAATTAGGATGGTATCTTACTTCTACTCTCAAAGCGCTGAGGCCAAAATCTGAAATTTTAAGACATCCTTGTGAATCAAGTAGGAGGTTCTCAGGCTGCATGTATGAGAAACAAAGTAATGTCAATGACAAATTCTAAAGTAAAGAAAAACCAGTTAATTTTTTTTACTACAAAGACCACCTTCAAATCTCGATGATAGACACCCTTACTATGGCAATAATCGACACCATCAATGAGTTGTTGGAAGTATTTGCGAGAATCATTTTCACTAAGTTTACCATGTCGAACCTGCAAAATATGATATTCAAATTATATAAAATTATAAATAGAATCCAAGTAGAAAATAATTAAAAAAAAAAACTCTTTCATGTGTGTTTGATAGAGGAGGTAAGGTTTTTGTCATATTTACTTAACAGAGAGAGCATCAATTGTAAGAACTTTTACAGTTGTTAGTCAAAATAGGTTTCAAACAAACTGAAGAATATATAAGGGCGGATTAACATGCATACCATAAAATTTTTATGTATTTATAAATCTAGCACCTAAATCTTTATATTTATATAGCGCCTTAATCTTCAACTTACATAAAAAATATTCACAACATTATCTTATATAAATGTTTTGAAGTGATTTAAATACTAAGATGTTATATAAATAATCATAAATATTTAAATATTAGATATATAAATGCATAAAAATTATGCTGTAAGTATGCAAATAGCTCAGTGAAGTCTCACAATCTTATCAAACAATTCGCCTCCTGTAATGAACTCCAGGATTATATAGATCTTCCTGCGGCTCGCCAAGACCTGTAAAACAAAGAAAGAACAATCAATCCAAACGGCGCACAGGCAATAAAGCAGGCACGATTCAAAATCACTTCTCATTCCAAGCAACAATGGAAAACCTCATGAAGTCGTACAACATGGGGATGCCTAACAAGCTTCATTATTGAAATTTCCCTTTTAATCTGCAAAATAAGACTGCATTAGCCACCACCAAGCTATAGAACCACCATCTCTGTTTTTCAACTAAAAGAACAATTGGGCACCATCAAATATAATAAAACTGTACGGTTGTTGAGAATAGTTATAAAAAGTACAGTCGCTCATGGGGTCCGCAATAAATCCATGATTTTGAGAGCATATTGGTTCAATCCTCACAATTCACAAATATCTTCCCCCATCAAAAAAATTGAAAAAAAGGATAAGAAATTTTGCTGAGATGGCTCGGAATAGTAAGGAAATGGGGGAAATAAAGTAGGGTGAAATTTAAAAAAAAAAATCATAAAGAAAACGAAAGAGGGTAGATTGCAGGTATTGGACCTGATCGGCCATCTTATGCTTGATTATAGTGGCGCGATCGAGGACCTTCATGGCGACGCTCTCCCCTGTCTCGGTATTCTGCGCGAACTTCACTTTAGCAAACGTCCCTTCACCGATCGTCCTCCCCACCTCGTACTTGCCCACTTTCCGCAGAGCCACCATCTCTCTGTCTCTCGCTTTCTCTCACCAAAGACAACCAAAACCGAGGTAGAACTAAAAGATTCTGCGGTGGAAAACCAGTAGTAGGAAATCGGGAAAGGTAGTAGACCAGTACCGCTTCTCATGAAGAGCTGCGGCTGGTTTTCTGATGGAAAGCGCTCTTTTTTATCCTTTGGAAGCCACTGAACGCTAAATATAGGGAGAAGAGGGAGAAAAAGAGGGGAAAGTAAAGAGATAAAATCGACGATGCAAGAAATGCAGGGGCATACAGTAGCCGAGTTTTGACTCGTTTCACTCTGGCATTCATTCGTTTCCCTCTGGCATTCATTAGATTTTTTTTTTTTTTTTAAAAAAAAATCTACTTTTGAGCAGATGAAATCAACTCGCACATATTATATATACAAACTTTCAAAACATCTTAATAGTCAGTCAAAATAGATCAAGATGATCGACATTCATCATACATGACAGATATATATAGAGTTTGGAAAGTATAGAGGTACACGTGTCAAGCGGTAATAGGAAGTAAGAACAGCTATTTAAGTTGTCTACTCTAACACTCACAAGTAATAAAAAAATTATGTCGGAAGTAATTGACGAGCTCACGTCGTAGGGATTATAAAAATATGGTGTCCACAGACAAATAATTAAAAAAAAAAAAACCAACATTAGGGTTAGATGTTGACAAAAGTCAGGAGATGATGACAGTGATTGCTCGTGGTGGTCATCGACGGTAATAATTGGGAAATGCAATATAGCTTTTTAGTTATCTCAACTTTTAAATCCTCCTCTCTGTAAGAAAATGAGACCGCTTTATAGCATTTTTTATATTGACATTTTGATAAATTTATCCAAAATTCATATCACTTCATTATACGATTCATATTGATCTCATTGATCATAGATTATTTATCAAATATTTGAATGTTTAACAATGTCAGAATCAAGTGAAATTAGGCTTGTTAGATTCATCTCAACGAGCCTTTCGATTTGACTATAAGCATGCTATAATCGGAAGTCATTTTGTTCATTGATTTATGATCAGAAGCTTTCAAATATAATTCAACCATCTTATTTGAGCTCATTTGGAGTTGGGTCGGATAATTTGTAGCGTCGATATATTTGTCTGATCGAGACATCCAGTTTAAATATTAATTTGCTGAAATCAGAGTTTGAAGAATTTAATTTCGGAAGTTTCTAATTCAAATATTACCTTAAAATTAGTTTCGACCATATGAATTTTTTGATGTTTTATCAAAGCTCAACCTCAATCTAAAGACGACTCCAACTCAGCTTAACTCGTTTACTCCTCTAAAATATAGTATAGAATTTAAAGGAACTCAAATTCGTTGAATTAGTACTAATATTTGTGGCTGCCATTAATGATGTAATTAGTGCCAATTCTCTGATTTTGCACGAATCTTAAAACAATCCGAGCGTTTATAGGCTTTTGGCTGAAAAGAAAATAAACGGCACGAGACCCGGTGGTCCATTATCCACCAAAGATCAGATTACCAAATAAAATAAGTAAAAAAAGATGCCCACTTTCAACGCCAAACAATAATATATTGGATCCAACGGTTGTTTTGTTGGAAGTATTTAAGGATGTTAGTACATTTCATCTGTAATTTTAATTAAATATATTTTATTTTTATTTATTAAAAAGTTTTGATTGATTGTAAAGGATAAATTTGACTTTCAATGTCTCATAAATGGAGCTATATTAGTTGCTATTTATTTTTTTAAGAAAAATATACCCCTAAATCCTTTGAAGACTATAATATCTTCATTTTATCTAAAAAGAATTGGAATAGATTCTCAAGCAAATAGTTACACAAATTTTCAAGTAAGAAATTGTTTGGCCCTTCCTCTTTTCAGTTCCTTTCTCGTCTTTGATTATCATCATTCGCATTTAATCGATCTACAACAAAGTTTCAAGGCAAATATTTTATTTGTTTATGACTGACAATTCGAAGTTTGTAATAGTATACATTTGAGATGTTAAATTTGTAAACATCGTTTGTGCTAATACCTAAACACATGACAATATTCGATATCACATTACATGCTTGAAATGTTGACAAAAATATTGTTCGAACATTAATAAAATCTTGTGCGAACCTTGTTTGTATTTTCAAATAAGATTTGATCAAGGTTCAAAACCTGTTCAATTAAGATTCAAACAAGATTGAGTAAGGTTTGATCATGATTTGAGGAAGATTTTATCAATGTTCAAATAAGATTAAAATATGACTCAAACAAGATTTGATCATGTGTGGAGTAATGTTCAAACAAGATTTGACAAAGGTTCTCGCAAGGTTTAAAAAATGCTCAAGGTTTAAACATTGTTGGATCATTGTTCAATAAATAGTTCGAGTTGTATTATTTTGCCCTCACTATCTCTTTTGGAATTAACTTGATTGAGTAGTTGTACTACGTGTGATTAATTGAATTTCTTAAATGATTTTTTTAAATAAAAAATCTAAATTTTATCAATCTGTCTTGTCGAAGAAGAAAAAGGAGGAAGGGAGAGAAAGAGAAGAGAGAACAAAGAAAAGAAAAGTTGATTTTAGCAGTCAGATCGTTTCGCCGTTTTTGTTGAACTTGCTCATATTATAGTAGGTGATTTTAATCATATTTCTATTTTAAAATATTTTAATTTTAACTGTTTGATTCTCTTTAGAACTGATTTTATTGTATTTTCCCCAAATTTATTGAACTTTTACCACAATTTTTTGTATTTTATCGTGCTGATTATTCAGTGCATTTTGATTGTAACATTTATTAGTTTCATCGGATAAAATTAAAATTATTATATTTTATATTTTTCTACTAATTGAACAATTGATATTTTTATTGAAATCATACTGTTAATACAAGCATTGAAAATAAATGTGGGTATGATTGAGTAATAGCTTGTCGTTATTAATGTAATAATACTGTGATAAGAATATGTGTGAGGAAATATAAAAACTGATTTCACTAACATAGGCTGAAGACTGATTGACATGTTCAGATGGTGGGTCGACGAGTTTCCCTTTAAATACTGTGGTTTGGTGTTATCTTTTACTGATTCACATGATATTTATTGAAAGTTATAAGGAGATGACTACTTTGTCAACGAGCAGAATGACGATTATGTTTGCTGAGCCAATGGTCACTGATAACAGATTGTTGATGCTAAAAAATATCGATATGCAGGACTTCTAACTTGTTTAATGTGACTACTTAAATATATGTTATTGAACTATTGTTGTTATTAATATACATATTTATTGTTACTGCATTATTTTACCACTACTGCACTAATTTTACTTGTACTGAAACGTCTATTGATACATATACTGATACTACTACTGATTCACTGTTGTTGTTAATATTATTGATTCATTGTATTGATTACTAATACTAAGCACGTAATATACTGATTTGATGCTGATATAAAATACCTGGATAGTATATATACACTTATGTATGATTTTATTACAATGATATGATTTCAACTGTCTTTATCGATGCTTTAGTTTTACTGTTTTATATGATTTCTCTACTGATTGATTGTACTGATACGATGACTTCTTTAGTAATTTGTACATTTTTACTGATTTCTCCATTTTATTGTTTTACTGGCTTTCGTACCGCATCACTTTACTAGTTACAAACTTTACTGCTAATGTATGTGTTGTACTATTTTTATATTGATTTGTGATCGTATTAATGTTACTACTATGATTTGACTATTAACATGAATATTGATGCTTTATCGTGCTTTGAATTCAGTTGTATGATTTAGTTACTTGCTCAGCTCTTGAGCTTATTATATGTGGTTTAAATGATTTCAGATTAGGGCAGAGGATCAGGAGTGTGAGGCTGGTTATATTTCTCCATATTTACTATTAGTCATTTCTTTCTGTCTTTAATTATTATTTTATACTCAGGACTGGTATATATATATATATATATGATCGATTGTTTTATTTCCATTGGTATGTATATTGATAAAAAATTTATGTAGATCTAGTTGTTGTCTAATCAAAGATAAAAGAAAGAATTCTTTCAAATTAGATTTTGAAGCATTACACTATGCATGTATGCAGAGTAATATTATTATATTACACTGCTCAAGTTACATATAGAGCTGAAGGTGTCATGGAGAAAACGGTTAGATAATGTAAAGCAAATGACCACTGATACGTCATTAAAAAATATCTTGATCGGGCATGAATCTCGATGCAAAATCAAGTTGGAAACTTCCAAAATTAAAATTGGGACCATATGAACTCCTATTTCAGCAAACTTACAGTCAAACTGAACGTCTCGGAAATATGAACCCAACGACACCAAATTCGACTCAATCCGAGCCCAAATGAGTCCAAATCTAGGACCCGAAGCGCTGTTGGAAGGTTCGAACCACAATTTGGTTTACCAAATGTGATGTGCTTATAGTCGAATCGATCGGCTTGACGAGGCAAATCCAAAGAGCCCAAGATCGTTAAATTTCGACATCATTAAGACCTTCAAATGTCTGACGAATGGTACATCATCAAGGGATTCAATATCGGCCATCCATCCAACCACTTCCCATTTACCCTTGATCTCTCACCTATTTATAGGTCATGCCACTCCAGAAATCTATAAATAGACCCTCATTCCTCTTGAAAGGGAGGATAGAAGCAAGAAGAGAAGAAGGAAGAAGAGGAGGAAGAGAAGGAAGAAGCTCCTCCTTGACCAACGCCGGACTTCCGCCATACCACCACTTGAGGTCCTCACCTTCGCCTGACCACCGCCTGACGTTGTTGCTCAGCCTGACCACCACTTGAGGCCCTCTCCTCCGCCGAACCACCGCCTGATGTTGGAGTTCCATTGGACCACCACTTAAGGCCTGAGCTCCGCCGGACCACCGTCTAACATCGTTGCTCCACCGAACTACCACTTGAGACCCTCACCTCTACCGAACCACCGCCTGACGCCGGAGTTCCGTCGGACCACCACTTAAGGGCATGAGCTCCGTCGGACCACCGCCTGACGTTGTTGCTTCGCCGGACCACCACTTGAGGCCCTCACCTCCGTCGGACCACCGCCTAATGTCGTTGCTCCGCTGGATCACCACTTGAGGCCATCACCTCCGTAGGACCACTGCCTAACGTCGTTGCTCCGTCGGACCACCACTTGAAGCCCAGACTTCTGCCGAACCACCACCTGATGCCCGGACTTTTGCCGGACCACCACTTGAGGCTCAAACTTCTGCTGGACCACCACCTGAGGCCCAAACTTCTATTAGACCACCACATGATGCCCAGAGTTTTACTAGAGTACCGCGAACGATCTTTCTGATCCCGGTCTCCTGCCAATTATGATCATTCAGACCCCTATCTCCTGTCGACTACGTTCCTTCTGACCTCCGTCGCCTACTACTGTCCTTCCGACCTACATTGCCAGACAACGATTTTTCTGACCCCGGTCTCCTGCCAACTACGGTCTTTCGGACCCCTGTCTCCTGCTGACTGTGGTCCTTTCGACCTCCATCGCATACTACGGTCCTTCCGATCTACATCGCCAGACAACGGTCTTTCTGACCCCGGTCTCCTGTCAACTACGATCTTTTGAACCCCTGTCTCCTGTCGACTACGGTCCTTCCGACCTACATCGCTAAACAACGGTCTTTCTGACCCCAATCTCCTGCAAACTATGATCTTTCAGAACTATGTCTCCTGCCAACTACGGTCCTTCTGATCTCTGTCGCCTACTACGATCCTTCTAATCTACATCGCCGGACAACAGTCTTTCTAATCCCAATCTCTTGCCAACTACGGTCTTTCGGACTCTTGTCTCCTGTCGACTACGTTCCTTCCGACCTCCATCGCCTACTACGGTCCTTCCGACCTACATCGCTAGATAATAGTCTTTCTGACCTAGGTCTCCTACCAACTACGATCTTTCAGACCCCTGTCTCCTGCCGACTACTGTCCTTCCGACCTCAATCACATACTATGGTCCTTCCGACCTCCATCACCAGACAACGATCCTTCCGATCTCTATCTTATCAACTATGGTCATGCCGACCAAACAAACATGTATATATTGTAACTCCCACCATGTAATGCGCTCTATATAATGTACATTTATACCATCAAGCCAAGGCCTTCTCCCAAGGAAGAGCCCCATTTGTAATCGACTTCAAATACTAGTGGATTCATTCAAATTGGGCCACGCCCCGTGATTTTTCCCCATTTTCAGAGATTTCCACGTAAAAACTCTGGTATCTCTTATGAACGCTACACCAGCTCTCTTATCTTATTGTGTGCTTGATCTTCATACAATGTTAAGACGTTAAACTATATATATTCATCTACCGCCGCGAATACTCCAGGATGCAACAACCACATTATTTGCAACGTTAGAAGCAATGCAATAATATTTACATTATTGAATTTTTCTAATCAATATTTGACTAATTTGATACTGAAGACCAATGTAAACGTTGATTTTTTAGTAGCATGTTAGTCATACTAAGCATACCAACATCATTATGTTTTCCTTCATGAGAATTATTAGAATCTTCAAGGTCTTGCACATTCACTTGCTTGTGTACAAGTTATGCTAGTTTATAAGGAGAATTATTTTTTTAAAAAATTTAGTTCTAATATGACTCTAAATTTGCCTTTTTTGTAATGATAATGTATACTATAAAAAGAGCATAATTGCAATACTTTCTATAAGCTACACCTGATCACATATAATTTTATAGGAATCATTTTTTTATTAATTTCTGAATTTACATATGTTGTGAAACAGGTGTTCCGCTATATCTCTGAATTTACATAAAAAATGAACAAAATGAGGTATTAATACATTGCAGGAATCACGTTCATTAACAAAGATAATACAGGAATCTTATCATTAAATAAATAAATAAATAATCATTAACATAATCGTTTAATTTTAGTTGCTAATAGCATTCTTACCACGCTAAGTGGTCTTTTGGAATTAGTAGGAAAGTTCTACAAAAGGAAAACTCAGATGGCACTTGCATTGCTGTCCTTCCGCCCTGCAAGAATTCTGGAGATTTGCAGTCCTCTGCTAAATGCCTGATTGAAAAGTAAGCGAGTCTGAAACTCTGAGACGAATGAAAACCAAGACAGAACAGCAACAGGTATCAATATGATCAGTCCCATTACGTATTCATATGCCCTTCCCAATTCCTTGATTGAATCCCAGAATCCTAGCTTCTTCATCATCGGCCTCAGCATTTGACCAATCTTAGGATAGAACAAAAAAAAGGTCAGCTTATGTTTATATATCCTTCTTTTTATTTTTTATTTTTTATTTTTTTGATAGGGGCCACACAAACGCGAACTCCATTGCCATAAATTATGACGTCCACTCCAGCGCCCCTTCAACATGCAATGAAGGTCGATAGTCTAGGCCACAGGCATTGTTGATCACCCGTAAACAGGGAGCTATTATTCTGTGCGGATACCAGGCGGTAGAATTGTCCGGTTAAGAGCTCGGATACCGAGCGTGGTACATTTTTGGGTGACGTGGCATATTTTTATTGATCTCTGGATGCCCTCTGAACTCCGCATAGAATAATAGATCCCGTCTAGGTAAGTATATTATGTTTATGTTTATGTTTATATATCCTTGTGCAAGTAGGATTGAGATTTTAGGTTAAAGATTGAAGAACACTCTAAAATTGTGTTGATTTATAGCATGATCCGATCCTGAAGCCAAGTCTGAGCTGAGGCTAGATCAAATCGAGCCAACTTGAAAGCAGCTAAAAATATATATATAATATGCATATGGATATTATACACAAGCATTTATGCATGTTTTAAAAATTAAAAAATGTGAGGCAAATAAATGATCCTGAGCTAGCTCGAAAGTGGGCCGATTCAAACCAACTTGGCTCATAATCGAATCAATTTGATCCACGAGCCAGCTTAAATAGCTATGATCCAATTTTGAGCCAATATTGGATCTACTCAAAATCAGATTATTCTCACCCAAAGTGTGAGAGAGAAGCTTTAGTGGTGGAGGATAAAAAGAGACTAACCAGAATAATGGACCATCCGGTTGGCATGAAACCCAATATGCTGGCAAAAACATCAGTTATGGTGAGGCCACAAACTACAAATAGGACAGTCATGACAGACACAAACCCAAGGAACAGAAGCCCCTTGAGAATTCGGAACATGAGCTGAAAATCTGTGCCAAATCTCCTCCTTCCCATGGAAACCATCTGAAAGATAACAAATGTAAAAGGGTTGATTTAATATTTGAATAGAGAAGGTAAGTAGCATGAAATTCAAATCAATTGGTTGATCTCATTTAAAGTTCCCACCTTTCCAATTCACAAGCTAAAAGTGATTAGTCTAGTTAAATTTAAAAATGATTGTGTATGTTAACTCATTCAGTGATTAGAAAGAATACCTTCAAAACTAACAGAACAGTCAACATAACCAGCCATGATAGTGCATATACCTGAAATAAAATCAATCATGAATCAGGAATAACATAATCACTTAAGAATTGTTACAGTATGTTAACAAGGCTTTGTTTGGGATGACTTTCTTACTGCTTCTTAAAGCAGTTTTTTAATACAAAAAATTTAATCTTTGGACTAAAAAGTTGCTTTAAGAAGCCACAATAAAGCCATCCCAAACAAAAACAAAGAGAATAATACCAAAATGCTTCTGCTATGATGGGCGATATCAAGATGATAGACAATGCCGTATTGATAGATCAAGAAGCGTAAAGCAAGGATGATTTCCAGGACCATTCCGCGAATACTTGTATATTTAAGATGTTCTTGTTCATTTGCCCACCAAGATTCCCAGCTTCTATCTTCTGCTATCCCGATCCCCCCGCGATTTCCCATCCATTTCTTCCAATCAGTCCAGTCATTTACAGTCTTTTCCCACTCAAAACCAGAAGGATTAAAGATAAAAGGTGCAAATAACCATGAACAGACCAAGAACCACATGGAAAATGTAACAAAAAGGTAGACAGTGGAGCTTCGGTATGTCTGCCCATAGACTTTATACACAACTAACAACATCATCAGCTCTAAGCCCTTAACGAAGTGACTCCGAGAGTACAGACGATAGTTGTCGGCGAACTTCGCATGAAATACCACAAATCCACGACCAGTTGCTCTATATTTGGCACCACCGTGTAATATGGTTCTCCCATAGTAGTGGGCTTTAGTGCCAAGTTGGAAAGTGAAGAAAACTGAAGCAAGCTGCAACTGCATTATGATAAATTCACCAAGAGCTGTGCGAAATCCTTTCTCCAAGCCAACTTCCATTACCATAGGCAGAACCATTAACAGACCTAGCTGAAAAACAGATTGAGAAGCAAGGGTACTTTCAAGAGGCTTGATGTCCTGCACAATAGTAGGATTCTCCAGAATTGACTTCTCTAAGCCACTCATTACAAAATATAATCTTCCATATAAGAACACATACACAGTAAGTACGGTCACCTGGAAAATCAGAGAAAGCAAATATAAGAAAACTTGGTTTCAAAGGAAATATTTGAATGGAAATGCAACAAGTAACATCATTTTAATTGTGCTGCCTATTTGAGTCAACCATTTTAATTGTTCTCGCACGCATCAACTACAAAAAAGAATGCGTATAAACGCATATCAGCATATCATGCTAATTGTGCTGCATATAGAGCACTCAGTTTCTCTTCAATATAGAAAGCATACTCCAACTCCATTTTTTTATTTTATTTTGTTACATACAAAAATATTTATTGCATTGATGACCATGGGAAGATCCCCATATAGTCCAAGGTGGGCATTCAAAAAAAAAAAAGGTCTATATGGAGGTTAATTTGACTCCCCTAAAAAATTATTTCGCTCATCATTTAGGAAGAGGAAGAATCATTGGTTGAAGACACTACAAAAAGATAATGTACTTACTTTCTAAGTTGTATAAAGTATAAGTAAAACTTTATCCAATGGAAAAAGAAGTGTTTTATGATTTATAAGTTGGGTATAAAAAGAATTCTAAGAAATAAGAAAAAAATATATATATAATTTCTATACAAATAAATCTTATTTTTTTTGTTGGCTATTTTTTTCAATCATTTTTTATTGCATTGCATTGAAAATGAATTATTTTTTATTAATTTATGATTTTATTTTATTTTATTTTTGTTATTATTGTTGTTTTGTCTAATTAATTAAAATTTTGTCCACCATGAAATAAGAAGATGGATCCGCCCCTGTAATGATGACTATGTTATATAGTGTGACAATGTTGTCAATGCTTGTATAGAAACTTGTAACCGTGGGAAACGCTATCAAAACCTTGAATTTTCAGTTTTCCATTTTACCAATTATAAGTGGCTCTATGAAGAACGGATATACAATCCACCCCAGCCAAGGCTAGGGCTGCTACAGGCCCAAATCTGCATCCTAGTAGCAGTGCAGTTTGGTTCCATCATACCATTTGCCTTAAAGTCAGATATTCTTAATTAAAAAAAATTATCTCCAAGATATCAGCAAAAAAAAAAATCTGAGCACTAATAAAGAACTTGGCAACACAACCAAAACAAGATCGCAAAATTATACCTTGCCCTTCAATCTCCAAAATGCTAATTAATGTTATGAAACAAAGAAATATTTCTTAACAGAAATTGTGTGGCGAGAACAAATTAAACATACCATGCTACTGAAGTAGAAGCCAACTGTTGTGAAGTAGAAAGATAGCATTCTATAAAAATCGAATCTCCGACCCAAACGATAAACATCACGACTTAGTGTTTGCTCTCCATTCCCATTCGCAACTTTTGCCTCAAAAAGTGAAATTTGATTCATGCCAACATCACGTCCCTTGCCCACCTGCATATATTCTTTGTGCACAACATTTCCTCCACGCAAAGTTGAGTTGAAACCTGCAAGCCAGACACGTTATTACTCATTACAATAAACAATGGTATAAATGTGAATGCTCACAATTCATACTCACCGGAAAATATATCCTCACTTAAATTAATGGTCTTAGAAGCCTTGCTTACGCCACCTCTCGTGAGGTGAAATATTCTATCAAAGACATCAGGATGACCATAATGGAACCGCACCCTATAACAATGCATAGTTAAAACAGGAAATAAAGACATAATAAAGGCACACTGCATAGGGTGGTTTCATTCAGGAGAATTAGGTGCATGGCAATGGATGAAGTTAATGCCTCTCTCAGATTTAAAAAAATATAACAATCACTTAACTGAATGAAATAAAATATATAAAAAAACCCTATATCCGGAAAACCCAACAGTAACAGGGAAGTAGAGCATTAGATGTCAATCAATAGAAGGCATCAATTTACAACTCGAGGTATAAGATTCACAAATTATTCTGCTGATCATTTGATCTACCTAGAATTGTGACCTCTTGGGTTGACCGATAACCTGGCTTTGATTGAGTTTGGGCTGGGAGAGGCGCTTGGTTAGCTGAGCTAGAAGTGAAAGATTCAGGCTAGTTGAGTTTCAGCTGACGTTGGGCTCCATATAGAGCCCAATTGATGCCTTTATATATATAGGTCAATTGCATTTCCTTTGTCATACATGAATAACTCCACATATTTTAAAAAAGTGATAAAAAGAAGCGCAAAGCTAAAGTTCTCTGCGGAAGGAAGCATACTTTAGAGGGTTAGCCAAAATTCTTTGCCCAATAGTTACAAAACTAGTTTCCTGGTTGGACATGAACCAAGCAAGAGAAGAGACGCTGCAGTTCAAAACAAGAAACATCAGTTTAAACCCCCCCCCAAAAAAAAGACCGAAAGTAGGAAATACAAACATTTTATAATATTGTATCAAATAAATCTTGAAGTAGTCATCAAAGAACTTGAAGAAAATGAACCACTAGAAAAATATAGACCAATTAATAATGAGAGGTAGAAAGTTTTTTTAGTGAGGGCAAAAATTTAATTTTTCAAATATTCTCTCAACTTTTTTCATCCGAACTTAAGACCAACTTTGACCGTTTAAAAATATTTATATATAAAATTATCATTTTAAAAAGGTAAAATATAAGTTAATTAAAAACTAATAATTTATAATATCAACTCTTTATATTCTGGAAGAGTTTTATCAATACAATCAAATATTTCTTTATCAATATAAATGATTAAAGTATCATTTATTTATTGATCTTCAATTCTATTTAGTTGATTTTTTTAGACTAGAGATAGCAAAAAAAAATCTTTCATTTTATATTGTATTTATATTAAAACAAATTCTAAAACTTTTAATTTATCATTATAAAATATGCAACAAATAAAATAATAATTACAACCTTCCGGTGAATATATGTTCACGAAGCCCCACTATTGTTGGCCGACGTTGCCCATGGCGAGATTTAAAAAATTCCTCTAAAACATTTCTAATCTTGAAAGCCTCTTCGAGATAGTTATCCTACAAAAGTGCAATGAGTCAACTATAATTCCACTATTGTAATCAAACATAAATTGATCTATGAAGATGTAAAAGTGGATTTAACAATATAATCAACACCAAATACGGCTCTTTAACATTGGAATGTCAAAAAGCAAATAATCGAAGCAAATATTGGGCTACCAAAGCTAAACCCATTTGGACATGAGTAAAGGAAAAACAAAAGATTGCCGATAAATCTAATGTGGGACGGAGATAATTAAAAAAAAAAAAAAAAACCTGATTCATGTCGATGGTTTGAAGTGCTTCCCCTCGGGTGAAAATTATTGCATGGTTTTGATTTTCAGGCTTCCCTTCACCTATATCATTTGGCCTTCCAGGAAGTTTGATGCGATAAATTTCCTAATGTGGTCAAGCAATTATGATTAATGAGGACAATTTGAAATTAGTACTTTAAAATTACTGAATAGGATGGTCCTAGTTGTATGATTGCATATTATAACTGATGAAATGCCTCTGGGAGGGGGAGGAGTCACTTTCATTTTCAAATATCAATCATGTTATGTAGTTATAACTGTATCAACAAGGTGGCCCATACATCAAGTGCAGATAGAGGGAGTAGTTTTTGATAATGACGCTAATGCAATGCAAAATGGAAATGTGTCAACTATTAATTACCTCATCCAATTTGTCACCTCCTTTAACAAGAACAGAATAATAGAATTTGTCTGATTTCCCACCAACTGTCTCTTCTCTTTCATCTATGTAGGCAACTCGTAACTGTGGATACCTGTATGAATTTCCATGGAAGGTGGACTGTTTTCAGAAGATTTTCCCAATAATGACCACACATAAAGATATAGGCAAAATCTAGTGGCTTGCTTTAGCATAAGGTTTAGTATATTCTGGTAGCAACTTTTATCTCTCGCTTCACCCGATTTTTTCTGCATCCCATAGACCTGGCATGAAACAACGTAAGTATACTTCATATCAGTAATAGCTTGAGCTTTTGCACCATAGGCCATCTCATCCTGATACTGTTGTACTGGGTTTGTTGCTCTATAGGGAATCAAACTATCTGCAAAGCATTTGAACTCAAAACTTGAGAATATTATAAGTTTCTCTGATGGAGTATCACAAAGTAATCTCTTCTTGACAACAATGATATTAAAAAACAAAACAACCGGATTTCCTAATCAAAGACATCTAGCAATAACCAACCCTGATCCTCTGGCATGTCCAAAAAGCATTGCAGCACAAGCGCATCCCTGTAGTACATCATTCCTCTCACTGATAAAAGTTTTAAAAAATTAGTACAAGCTAATTAAAAATATTTGCCGTGAAGGCAGGACTTCCAAGCAACATTTATGCTTACCTGTTCTAGAAAGTGTCTGGCCTCTATAAGATGCCCACCTACGTACATCATCCATATGTTCCTTGAGCTTTTCCTCATAAGTTTCATCCCTTTTGATACTCATTCTCTCCAGGAAATTTCTCCATTCATCTAAAAGGGTACAAAACTAACTAGGTCTATAAATTGCTTCACTAGTACAATAGAATAATTTTCAGAAATATTGATACTATGTCCATCCGAAGTCACAGAGAGCAAATGATGATATGAGGAAATGATCATTCTAATTTCTCAAATTTCAGTCATGGTAGAAGAAATATAAGCAGGAAGCAGTTACCTGGATATATTCTCTCTAAGTAAAACAAAATTGATATTCCATCCTCATTCTCTTTTTTAAGTTCCTCCTCAGAATAAAGAACATCTTCTTTGTAATATGGCGTCAATACACTACAGAAGATAAGCAAAAAAACAAAAAAGTTTAGCCACCAAACCACAATAAGGAAGCAGTCAAATGCCCATAAGTACATGCATGAAGCATAAGCATGCAATTAAGCCAGAAGAAAACAAAAGCATGTTATCTGTAACTGATGAATTTATTTCTTGAAGGAAAGAGGACAATGCTTGCCAAGCAAAAGAGCAGATAGCTGCGGTAGTTATTAATCAAGGAGGTGTTGATTAATTTTGGGAAAAAAAAACTCACTTTCACATATGAAAGTACGTTCAATATCAAGCAAACTTCATTAATATAAGTGAATCATTACTTTTAATGAAGTATATCACAAAACACAAGTTCAAACACGCTATTGTCAATGGGGGGAGCATCAGCAACAAACATTTGAACAAAAAAAAAAAAAAAAAAAATTACATGCAACCCAACCTCATATGACCCTACGTGGCCCAGCCCATCTTCCATCACTTAAACATGTCACCATAGCCCTCACTGCTATTAAAAAATCAAGTTAGAATTTTTTTTTATTTGCATTTCTCTTATTCCTCACCTTCTTTCTTCTCTGTAAAATGTAAGCCTTATTAGACTGATAGGAATTACTTGGTTTGCAAGTAACCCTAATCCAAAACAGTAAAAATACAGCAGCAGTTTGCTGTCCCCAGCAGAAAAAACAGCAGGAATATAGCAAGAAATAGGGAAATTGGAGAGAAAAACACAAGGAAAGACTTGTATTTCACTAGCAATCAAGACAAAACAAAGAAAGATACAACGTTCTTCGATTCGAGAGGAAGAACAACTCTCCACAAGTCTCTAGCAAACCCTAGAGCTCAAGCGCACCAAGAGATCTCAAACTTCTCATTCAAATTCCAGATGATCCTAATTCCCCTCCAAATCTCCTAATTATACAAATTCCTCATAAAGGACAATAATGGACTTCCTAAAACAGCCCCTCATTAAAAAATCTCCCTCCCAAATTCAATTTGAGCCAACGTGGGGTTCACAGGGAAGTTCCGCCCCTTTCTGTTTTTCCGCCTGGCATAGTATCGGACCGGTCCAGTGGGGACCGGTCCACTCGTAACATAGACCTTCATTCTCTCTAAAATCATGTGAAGGTCTTCCCTCTCATTGCCGCTAACACTACAGCAGCCTTCTCTCCCTCTCATCATCCTTGTCTTTAGCAGACCAAACCAAAGCCAACCTCTTTCATCATTAAGCTGAGAAGCCGTCTTCCTCCTATGTTCCCCATGATGACTGCAATTGGCATCCCCTTTCTCCTTAGTTTCTAACTTTGAATATTAAGGGGTTGTTTGGTTGGCTAAAAAATGAATGTAGAGTAAAAGGAATACTTCGGAGTTATTTGGATGAGTGAAAACTGAAAAGAAAATTCAGGTGAATGATTTTTTTTTTAAGTAAAATAAATGTAATAAAAAGTTTAAAAATGATGGTCGATGGCTGGCGACATTCAAAGGGTGGCAATGGTGGCCGGTGGCCAGTGGCAGTGACCGACGGCGGGTGCAGTGGCCGACGGTGGTGGCCTAAGGTGGTTGGAGATGGCTAGCGGCTATCTATTCTGTTTCATCTATTAGTAAAAATACAAGTCTTTTCTCCACGGTTTTCTCTCCGATTTGCTATTTTTCCACTGTTTCTTGGCTGATTTCTGTTGTGGACAGCAATTTTACATTGGATCTATTTGGTTTTGGTGAGAAACACTTGGAAATCCAAGTGTTTCCTATCAAATTGGTATCAGAGCGCGTCGATCGAAGGGGAACCAATGGCCAGAAGGAAAGTAAAAATTTTGGAGGTAGAACTTGGACAACTCAAAGTAGATTTTGAGGAAAAGATGACTTATTTTCAAAATCAGATTGCATCCGTCAATGAAAAGATGGATAGAAGGTTCGCCGCCTTGGAAGACATGATGAAGAAGTTGCTTGAAGCCAAACCTAAACCGGCGACATCAGAAGCAAAGGAAACTACCGGCGGCCGTGAAAGAGGTGGGAACCCTAACACATTTAGGGGAATGGAAAATCCAGAAGTGGAGATCCTAGAAGGAGAAGACAGAATGCCTCATCTAGAACCACTTTCTAGGGGGGAGATGAGCATTGGCTACGCAAGAAGGGATGCTGAATTTGTAAGGAGATGGGATGATTTCGATCGCCAGGGTGCTGATTTTGAGAGAAGAAGAGAGGATTTTGAGGAAGAAATTGAGTATGAGTGCCGGAGGGAAGAGCGTGATGATTGGGGGGCACCTCCTCTTCGAGGAGTGAGAAGCTATGGAGGATTTAGGGAAAACGGGGGTGACCCGAAGGTGAGAAAGTTGAAGATGTTTATTTTTGAGGGCGAGGATGCCCATGGGTGGATCTACAATGTGGAGCGATACTTTTCAGTCAACGGATTGACAGAGGACGAGAGACTGACGGCAGCGGCACTATGTTTGAAAGGGAAAGCTTTAGCTTGGTTCCAGTGGACGATAGCATGGTCACTAACAAAGCAGCTGAAGAAAGTTATCAACAGCATCCCATCCTTCCACCTTGAGGACAAGGTGGATTTTCGGGAGGGGAGTATTGTTAGACCGGTCCAGGGGACCGGTTTTAGGAAGAAATTTTGAGGAAGATTAGGAGGGAATTTGAATGTAGGGACTGTTTAGGGAATTCCTTTTGAATTGTATGCATTAAATAGTGGATTTTGCTAGGGTTTGGGCATCTTGAATTTGGCTGAGATTTGAGATCTCTTACATTTAGGTTTCTTTGGGCTCTAGCGGCGTCTAGAGATTTGGGAGAGATCGATCCTCCTCTCGAATTGAGGATCAATTGTATCTTTTCTATTCTGTTTCATCTATTAGTAAAAATACAAGTCTTTTCTCCACGGTTTTCTCTCCGATTTGCTATTTTTCCACTGTTTCTTGGCTGATTTCTGCTGTGGACAGCAGTTTTACATTGGATCTACTTGGTTTTGGTGAGAAACACTTGGAAATCCAAGTGTTTCCTATCACCTTCTCTCCCTCTCATCAAATTTGTCTTTAGCAGACCAAGCCAAAGCCAACCTCTTTCATCATTAAACTGAGAAGCCGTCTTCCTCCTATGTTCCCCATGATGACTGCAATTGGCATCCCCTTTCTCCTTAATTTCTAACTTTGAATATTAAGGGGTTGTTTGGTTGGCTAAAAAATGAATGTAGAGTAAAATAATACTTCGGAGTTATTTGGATGAGTGAAAATTGAAAAGAAAATTCAGGTGAATGATTTTTTTTTTTGAAGTAAAATAAATGTAATGAAAAGTTTAAAAATGATGGTCGATGGCTGGCGACATTCAAAGGGTGGCAATGGTGGCCGGTGGTGGCCGGTGGCCAGTGGCAGTGACCGACGGCGGGTGCAGTGGCCGACAGTGGTGGCCTAAGGTGGTTGGAGATGGCTAGCGGCTATGGGCTCCGAAAATTCACGCCCCGGCCTCTCCGCGGATCCCTCTCTTTCTTTTTTGGGTCATCGAGGAGAGTTTTAACGTTTATATTCCGAGGCAACTTTTCAGAAGGCGGTTTGGATTTGAAATAAGACACAACCCAGAGATTTTGCCCTCATTTTACAAGGAATTTATTATCTGAGTTTTGGTTTTCTATAGGCATAAGCCCTTATAATTAATTACCCTCCCAATAATGAGAGAAAACTTTCGATTAAGCCTAATCTTCAAATAGATACATAGTATATGGCGTATAGTAGCAGCATGATTTGATATTTGATAAATTAATATTTAAAATTAAAAATTCACCACGCACTTAAAGCGTATGGTGGGGGGAATGATGATAGCTCTGATCAAGATCCCATGGTTCCGTCGTCCCAGGTCATCATGGTCTCTAGTCTATTTAGTCTAAGGAGGTAGTCAACCCAACTAGTGGTGTCAAAACGAGTCAACGGGTCAAGTCCGGGTCCAACCTGGATTGACCTGGTTCTACAAGGGTTGACCCTCACCTGACTCGCAAACCCAGACATGGTTGCCTTGCTGACCGATGCGGACTATGGTGCGGGATCGCCCATTAGCGTTGTGGCATTGTGCTGACAGCCGCAATTGAACCAGATGCGAGGCTGAGGAGAGATCGTTAGGGGCTGGACTGTGCCATTCGAGGCGAGCAGCGAGCGCGACTAGTGAACATGCAAGCGCGACTGGCGAGCCTGCGAGCGTCCGAGGAGAGTTGACTGGCGAGCATACTAGGCGAGCACAGGTTGCACCACAGTAACAAGCTAGGTTTTCTCCTTTCTAGGTGAATACGGGTTAACTTCGGGTTGCCGGGTCAACCCAAATCCGACCTGGTTTTCGATACATGTAGGAATCTCAAACCCGAACCCGACCCGTATGGCAAATGAGTATATACATGAAAAGGTTGGAGTAGCTCTAGTGGCAAATAAGATTAGAGAGAGTTGCCTTAGATGTTTTGGCCACATAAAACATCAACTTTCAGATGACCCTGTTAAAAGACTAGATCTATTAGATCTAGTAGAGGCATTAAATCCAGCCTATGTTAAAAAAGGTTGAGGTATGCCTAAAAATGCTTGGTTGGAAATTATTAAAAATGACCTTTTTTTTAATTAGATTTAACTGAGAATTTGATTCTTAATAGGAAACAATGGAGAAAAGGGATTCATGTAGCCGACCACGCGTAGTGAATACAAACTTGTTTTTGTTGTTATTATAGCTTTGTAGGAATGTAGAACAACTGCAAAGGAATTTTCCTTATTAATAGTGTTAGAACCGGCGGGACCGGTTCAATCAAACCGGTCTCCTAAATAAGGCAGACGAGTGGACCGAGTGAGAGCGCCGTCGAGCAAACCGAGCAAAGTAATGCGATAACAGGCGAATATGCACGACTCCTCAAGAGGGATAACTCCATTTTGCTTTGTTGAGATAAGCTAAATGAGAGAAAACACGAGTTGGGAGTGGTAACCGTGTGGAAGAGAGGAATTGGAAGAGAGATATATTGTGCAAAAGAGAAAAGTTAAGGGTGGAAATTTTTTCTACTGTTGAGATATTCGAAAGATTAGGACTCGTCAAGAGGAAGAAAAAACGAGACTCCATTTCTGACAATGGGGAATGAGCAAGTTGTTTAAATTTTCTAATTTCTTGAAAGGATTGAACATTTCACTTAAATAACTTGCATCTTTTACCTCATTATTTTCCTCTTTTTTGTCGAATCAAGACTTCCACCAATTTGATTTCCCTATAAAATTTTGGACAGCTTCCGCCTGTGAATGATGGTTCAAGTATGATATTTTATTGGGCTTCATTCAGATGTCATGATTATTTTTTTTTAAATAAATGTTAAAATTTGCGTAATAAAAAGGGTGTGCTAGAAGCTTGCCCAGAAGGCCAACCTCTCCATCCTACCTACTCAATCTCAACTCCACATGCACAAGCTCTCATGCTCAACCCCACTTGTTTAGCTCTATTGGTGCGCTGGCTCATCTCTGCTCTGACTACTCGCACACTGATGCGGGCCGCCGCCGACCGGCAGAGGGAGGGTCAGCGACCTCGGAGAGCTCGGAAGCGGTCGGGAAGGAGGGCCGCGTCGGCCGATCTGTCGAAGGATCGCGCGGAGGGACGCGGGCGCGGAGCGTGACGCAGATCGGAGCGGGGCCTTCGGCTTGAGCGGAACATGGACCGGACCGGTTTGGCTCGGGTCAGCCCTGAGCTGGGCGGTTCAGTTTGGGCAGCCCACTAGCGGATTTGGTTTGGTCCTTTGCTTGCTATAAGTAGGGATTAAGGGGGGATTTCTAGGGTTATGCAAGATTTGAGTTTTCTCTTAGCCTCCTTAGTTTCTTTCTCTTGTTTTTCTAGGGTTTGTAGTGGGAGACCTTGTCCTTCTCGAAGTGGACAAATTGTATATTGTTTCTCTTGGATTTTGAATGCAAATGTTCTTGTTCTTCCTCTCATCCCTCTTGTGTTGATTTTTTCTTGGATTTGGAGGAGAAATTTCATCTTGAAGGAAAATTAGGGCAAACCCTAATTTGTGAAACCTAAGGCGTATCACACACACTCTGTTTTACTCTCTCTCCTCTCACTATTTATTTCTCTTTATCTCTCGCGCCCTACCGCCGCATCTCTTGCCCTCTTAAATAGAAAAAAATGCGTGACATCGATAAAATACATGACACCCATAAGGTCATGTGTTACAAATTATACTAGTGATGCTATATATATATCACAACTAGGACAATAAATACATTTGTTTTTAGTTATTTTAAATTAAATAAATTTTAGATTATTACAAATTTTATGGATAATTTATACATTATTTGTTCATATAGATACCATATTAAGGGAAGCAACATTCAGAGAATAAGTGTCAAGCTAGTTTTTCAAGGTTGATATTTATATTTCTCTTTTATAGTAATTAAGTTTACTTTTTTAATTTTAAGGATTATGATTGTTTTACACTTTGATTTGCATTTAATATTGCAACTTTATTTAAAAAAAGTTTAATAACCATTGACAAACCTTTCTCATATTGCTATGAATATTAATTAGAAATCATCTCATTTAAATAACCAATGAAAAAATTATTTTAGATTATCTTACAAAAATTATAAGGAATATGATAATTTGCAATACGTGCTTGTATGTTGAAAGATGTATTTCAACCTCATATGATGCTGGCTAAAGATACTTGTACTTGTGCATAAAATTATTACCTGCCCTCATATAGCAGACAATGCTCTCGTGATGGGTGTACTATATCATAACATAAGTCATTCATTTCGTGATAAAGAGAGCTATTCTATGATTATTCCTTTGTTCCACCAATAATCAAGTTACAAATGTATTTATACTAACTATTCTTGATAAAGCGATATGTTATGAATTACTCAATGATATGCTTACATATTGTGTTCTAATTTTTGAATTACTATAATTTAAAAATATAATTAATCATTAAGTTGTTTAACTTATCCTATTTGTTAATAATATTTTTTAAAAAACCTCCGTTATTTTCTATTGGTGAAAAAAGGGAGTTTGTCAACAGCAAGATAGTAACAACAAAAGGTAAGTATTGATAATGTAAAAATATATGCTAGTTTCAACTTCGCAAGTTATGTAAGAAATTATATATATATATATATATATATATATAATTTATTGGGATAAACAATATGTGCAGACAAACAAACAACAAAAAAATGAAAAATTAGATAATGCACAACCAACCAAAACATGGCCAGAATCCAATTGTTGCATAAGATTTCAGACGTGTGCAAACTGACCTGAAAGACAACATATTACGAACTTTGGGAGCACTTGGCATATTCATGAACAATGAGTTCGCGAAAAAAGTAATGCGTCGCCGAGCATCCAAATTTGTGGGTACATTAATTGCTGATTCTTTGACAGTAAGAAGTAAGTGAAGCCGAACAACCTGATAAAAGAAATGGATGCCATGAAGTAGAAAGACAAAAAACAACTGGAGTTGAAAGGAAACAAGCAAAATAAGCACCTTCGCCATCCACGAACCGTTTAGCATAAGTTCAAATTTAAGATTAGAAAACTTTGGTTTTTCTTCATTTGTCCCTCCTTCAGATCTTTCTAAGATCCTGAAGAAGATTCGATCACATGGCTGCCCAGGTATTACTAAAATAAGAAAGTCAACTTTTGATAATCATCTTACCCTTGTCCACTAATTATGACATCCTGTGTCATGATCTCAATAATATCCTGTAGAACATTTATTATTTGTGTCTTAGAAGCATCAAGATCTTCATGCTCACCTTTCTGCCAACATATTAAAGAGATCAAAAAGCATATAACCTTAATTTGAAATAAATTGAAAATCAGACAAAGACATCACCAAAAGATTCAGCAGCTTCTCCAATTTACTGCTGAGCGGAGGCAATTCACTCATCCGGAAGTTGTTCAGAAATTCCCTCTGTTGTATGCTAGTATCAACGGCATGGCATATGCGTCTAATAACTCTGGAAATAAGAGACGAAATAAAAAAAATCAAGCAAAAATTTTCACATAGAACAGCAACGTAATTGCCTGATAATGAAGCGAGCTGTAAACTAAATTATATAACTGTGAATTTCTTCAATTTAGTAAAAAAAAATTAAACTTATGGATTACTAGTTGCTTACTGTTTATCTTCCTCATCAACCAAAAGACTATAAAGTATATCCCTCAATGTTTCATAGCATTCTATGACAGCTGAATGCATGTAGTTATCATATTTTATCTTCTTAAATAGCTCGGCTTCACCTTTTTTCTTGAAATCTTTGGCCATGTCAAGTGCTATTGGTATCTACAGATAATAAAAAATCATGAAAGCAGATGAAAATTAAAAATCTATATTCAAAATAAGAATACTTCGGAGCAAAAGCCAGCTGGAGGAAACATGATGCGCATACCTTACTAGCAAGAAGAAAAGGAGGCCACTGGACAACAGTTACATCACCAGAGGAATATGGAACCAATAGCAGAAGTTGCTCACTGACCAAGGAAAAAACCCAAGAAACTTAATAAAAGAATCGAACCTGGTAACAGCATTGGATAATACTTAAATACAAGAAATTCGCAACTTATTGCTTATCAGATCTTCTTCTCTTAAAGATTTAATGAAAGCATTCCACACATGAGCAAATCTGTCTATGTTCCTTCTTTCCGACTCCTGTAAGTTTATGGCATAAAATCAATACAAACAAACACTTAAGCATATGCAAACAATATCATCAGTGGAAGTGGCAATAATAGTATCCAACTATTAGGATGAAAGATGAAATTTCAAAAGGAAATATCTTTTAGATATGCTTAAATATACTGCATATTCATATGAACTCGAAGGTGAGCAAATGTGCAAATTCACATAAAAATGGCTGTGAGTTACAAATATGCAACTATTTATAATATGCAGTTTATGCTTATGCTTACATATAACGAGAAGGTAAGAATATTTGCAAATTCGGAAATAGCATGCATGTGCAGCTACAAAGATGCAACTATTTTTAAGTTCTCCCCTGCATGACAGAAATGGTTGTCTAACTTGTTTTCTATAGGAAGGTCAACATTAAAATTCAGTAAAATGAGCTTTTTCCAAGGCTACAACCTGACTTCTTATTGATTCCTCCTCCCTAGAGAAAGGTATAAGCCGTGAAGCAAAGAATATTGGCACTGACTCAAATCTTGACCTTAACATTCCAAGTGTTCGGATCTGAGAAAAAACAAAAGAAAAATACTTTCTCAGATTTATATTCTACACATGCTATTCCAAATTATTAAAAATAACGATAAACTGCTGTTTAGAAAAAAAAAAAAAAAAAAAAAAAAAGAAAAAAAAAAAAAAACAGTAAGAATTAAAAATAATCACCTCACCAAGGTGGCTGAAAGCTCCATTAATGCCTCCAAATATAGTGGAGAATATGGCATACCATATCTGGGTATCCATGAAGTATACCTAAATCCAAAAATAGAATTGATAACTCCAAATTTAAATCTGCAAAGAATTAATTCTAAAAAAATTCAAGCTCCTCAGTACCAAAACAATCGGTGCCCACATTGCTATCACAACACCAATGTTATACTGCACTGTGTAATTTGAAAAATGACTCAATACATATAATTCAAACTGAAGAATAAAAGAAAATTAACAAATAAAGATATCTTACAATTCGGGAAGAATTCATGCCATTCATAGGATCCAACTCCAACACTCATTATCAACTTGGTTGGCTCAACCAGAGGGTATATCTATCAACAACAGTGTGATCAGAAATGCATTGTTTCCAAGGCTTTAGCAAAAACTAACAAGAAATAGTCATTTGGTAAAGACAAAATATGGATAAAATTTTATAGCAGAAATTTGTTCATATGGCAACATCACAATGCTACAGGATACATAGAATGATCAGTTTGCACGATATGATATAAGCGTGTTGTAAAACCCAATTTGATTAGGTGTGTGCCGCATTAGGATCAATTTAACAATACCTCGAAATTCCAAATTTCACAAAATTCCGCAATTTTAATGTCATTGTATTCTACTCGTTGAATGGAGCAATTCGACATATAGAACTATAGATCAAATTATGAAGAGATGGGAGTTAGGGAATTAAATCTCATTTGTTTTTTTTCCTAAGTTAAAGAAAAAAATTGCTATTTAAAATAGAGTTTATTCAGGATTTATTTGGTTAGTGTATTTAACATTTCTAATTTAACAAGGTTTAGTTATTGATTGGTACATTGTACTGCGAGGATAATGGATACTTATAATCATATATGCAATGTAGAAATTGGAAGATATATTAGTTGGAACTTGAATTAATTGTATGAGTTGGAGAGGAGATTGTGTGAATCAGTAATTAATGATTTGTTTTGATTTAGGTGCCCTATAAATACAGACAGACACGAGTTATCCAACTTTGTGAGTCCGCATGACGACAAGGTAAGACATGCAATTTTATTAATATAGTAAGCTACTCTGATTGTGTATAGTTGTATACGGGTAAATTTAATTAGTTATGTGTAATATTAGTCTCTGAATTACACATTTATAATTAACCTAAAGTTGTGATTTATGTAGGTTTGTGTTGGACCGGGTTTACCGGTCCCGCCTGGACCCGTGCGGGTCTATAGGCGGAAGAGGGGGGCGGGAATCCGGCTGGACCAAAGAGGGACCCCCCACTTAAGTGGGGGTATTTTGGGGATGGGAGGATGTTTTTTGAAAGGGTATGAAGGGAGCCATTAGGGTTTAGTTTTGGACATTATGAAAAGTGTATTCTCTTTCTAGTTTTCTTCCTCTAGTCTTCTCTTGTGCTTTTCTAGGGTTTTCTTGTGGGGGATCTTGTCCTTCTCGAAGTTGACAAACTTATCTTGTTTTCTCTTGGCTTGCTAATGCAAAGGTTCTCATTTTTCTTCTCTACCCTTTTGTGATTGTTTCTCATTTGGTTTTGGTGGAGAAATTTCACTCTTTTGAAGGAAAATTAGGGCAAACCCTAATTTGTGAAACCTAAGACGTACCAGTTTGTCATACATAATTCGTCGTATATTATGATCATGTTATATTATGTGACCATGTGCAAGTCATTAGGCTATACCTTATGATAGTTATTCATATAGTCATACCTACCTATATGTTGATACACCTGACAATCATATTAAATTGTCTGCATATGCATATTTCTATATATAGGAAAGTGTCATATAACTTGGAAGGAAAAATGCATGATCAGAAAAGCCTGAGAATGTGTCATGTTAGGTGGCAGGTGAATGGGGCAGTGCGACCTCGTTAATTTGAGTCTCTAGGCCGAGTCGTGACATGCAAATCTAATACAATCTGAATTTACACTAGTGCATGAATTTTCATGGTTCCAAATTTCTAAATGCTATTATTAATAGAAAAAATATTAATTTATCATCTACATTGATTCACATAATACTTCCTAATTTAGTTAAAAATTGATGAATGATTGTCCAAATTAAGAGTTTGTGATCCCAGAATTGTGTGTTTGTACACCTTTATGCGTCTGATTGTAGGTTTAAATTAGAAAACCCTAAACCTTATGATGTCCTATATAAAATTTGTATTAAAGCTTAAGAATGTTCGCAATGTCTTCTAAATATAAGATATAATATTTTTTACAATTAAAAAATAAAAAAAATGTGCAATTTAAACTGAATCAATTTAACTATGATTCAAGATATATCTAACATGAATATTATAAGGTTACGAATTATATTCTTACATTAAATGGGAAGTACAATCTATAATACCTCAAACTTAAGCTATTTTGGATAGCTTAGCATAAGTGAATTTTATTGTCACTAGCAGCAACATCTTATTCAGACTACTGGGGGTTGCTTTATGCATAAAAAATCTCCACTCATCCTTCTTTTAATGATGCATGATGAATCATATCTATTTGTGCTTATTTTTTCTGCACAACTTTATCCAACAGATCACTTTTTCTTCATAATCATTCAATATTAATATTCGATCTTGAATTATTGCTGCATCATCTGCGGAAAATCCAATTGGTTCTCTTTTTGCTACGCAAGTCTCACAAGTTATCCAATTTTGGCAAATATGAAAAAAATTAATATAATCAAATTATGCCAAAAGATAAAGTGATGTTCTAGTGCGATAGATTTTTAATATGTTAGATAAACTATAGCAACTAAAGTGTGATTTTTTTTTTTTTTGCACAACTTCATCCAACTTACCTTCAATCTATCACTTTTTCTTCCTAATCATTCAATATTAATTTTATATTCTTGAATTATTGCTGCGTCATCTGCGGACAAACCAATAGGTTCTCTTTTAGGGGCTAGATGGTTGGAATACATAGTGGTGAAAAGTATTCCAAATGCATATGTTTTGAAAAAATTGGTGTTTGGTTGGATGAAAGAAAATGTAAAGTAAAGAAAATATAGTGTAAATCATTTTATTTCATTTTTGAAATAAACCAAACTCGCCCAATTTTGAGCGATGTGTTTAAACCACAAGCAAGCTCGCTTGACCGCTGCCCACCACCACCGTTGATCACCAATGCCACCCACCGCCGGCCATTACCACCACTGGTAGCCGCCACTCGTCGTCGGCCACCACCATAACCGCCAATGCCGCCAGCCATCGCCACTCATTGTCGACCACAACCACCGCCCCAACTCAGTATTTTTTTTGTAAATTTACCATCAATTTTAAAATGCTTTATTATAAAAATTGAGTCAAATGACTAATAATACAACAACAACAACATCAAGCCTTTATCCCACTATGTGGGGTAGGCTACATGAATCATTTTTCTCCATTGTTCCCTATTAAAAGTTAAACTCTCATTTAAATATAATAAAGAAATATCATTTCTAATATTTTCGAACCAAGTCTTTTTAAGTCTACCTCTACCTTTCTTAACATAAGTCAAATCAAATACATCAATTTTCCCAACCAATTCATCGGAAGACCGTCGTTTTATGTGACCAAACCATCTAAGGCGACTCTCTCTAATCTTATCTTCCCCTAAAGCTACTCCAACCTTTTCACATATATGCTTAATTATTTCGTATCCTCTCTAAGAGTAAATCCAGTCATGCACCTGAGCATCCTCATCTCTGCAAACCTTAACTTAATATTATGCTTCTGTTTTAATGGCCAACACTCTGCACCATAAAGCATTACAAGTCTAACCATTATCTTATATAATTTTCTCTTAAGTTTGAGGAGGCCTTTTCTATCAAACAGCAAGCCCGATGCATTCCTCCACTTCAACCATCCAACCTTACGGGTCTTTTTATATCTTTAATAATTTTAAAAAATTTTACATTTAAACCAGTTTTTATAACAGATCTAATTTTTATATTTTCTTGCACATTTTAATTCCACCACCAATTATTTTTACTATTATGGGTTTTTTCCTTTGATACTTCAAACACATTTTTAACAATATTGTTACTATTACTAGCTATTTTTTTCACATAACATTAGCTTCCTTATGCAAAGACAAAATCTTAAGATCTAGTATCTTACTTTCAAAAATATTTGTGTTAATATTCTTTAAATGTCCCCATCTAATCCTTGAATAACGTTTTATTTTATTTTATTTTATACCCCTTCATCTTAAAATCCAAAACTAATAAGTGATGTTGTGTACATAAACTTTCACTTAGAATAAAACTTTACAAACTTTGCAATCTAAACGATCAATTTTTTTTATAAGAAAATAATCAATCTGAGTTTTATTATATCCATTCTTATAAGTGATGAGATGCTCATTTCTTTTCTTAAATAAAGTATTAGCAATTACAAAATCATAAGCTAAAGAAAAATATAATATAGTCTTACCACTTTCATTAGTCACTCCAAACCCATAGCTACTATGAATGCTTTTAAAATGATCTACATTTGTACCAACATATCCATTTAAATCTCCTCCAATAATTTTTTTTCTTCAAGAGGTATCTTTTGTAATAATTCTTCTAAGTCATTTAAAAATTTTAATTTTGAACCCATATCTATATCTACTTGAGGAGCATAAGTACTTATAATATTAATAATCTTAGCATCAACAATAATCTTTAAAGCTATAATTATATCTCAAATTTTATTAATTTTTATAACATTATCCTTTAAACTGTTAGCTATAATCATACATACATCATTTCTAGTATGCATCTTTCCAGAGCACCATAGTTTAAATCTTAAACTATTAATCTTCTTAGCCTTCTCTCCAACTCATTTATTTTTCTAAATACATAGAATATTTATTTTTCTATTAATCATAATTAGGGGTGTAAGTGAGCCGAGCCGGCTCGAGTTTGACTCGTTTATGGGCTCGCGAGCCGAGCTTATCGAGCTCACAAGTCGAGCTCGAGCTTGAGTTCTAGCTCATTTAGTAAACGAGCTTGAGTTCGAGCTCGTTTAGTAAATGAGCTCGAGTTCAAGCTCGAGCCGGCTCGGCTCGTGAACTCACGAGCGGCTCGATTAAATAATAATATTTTTAAAATAATTTTATTTTATTTATTAAATTTAAATATTAAAAAAATTAATAAAAACCACTTAAATTTTATTTAAATGTTAAACCTTTCATATTTTTTAAAAAAATTTGGCTAAGTTTTAAAAATCTCGCTTAAGTTTTAAAAATCCCGCCTAATTTTTAAAAATCCTGCCTAAATTTAAAATTTTCTGTCCATGGCTCGAGCTCGTTTACAGTGAGACAAGCTCGAGTTCGAGCTCGCTTTCCAACTAACAAGCCGAGCTCGATAAGGGTCAAAACTTGACTCGACTCGACTTGTTTGCACCCCTAATCATAATATTTATTAATTCAATTAATTTGCCTATAAGGGTACACATATTTCAAGTTCTTATCCTAATTTTAGTTTAATGGACTAATTTCTTTGCACACATCCATCCCTGATGTGGGAACCCTTGCCTATTTAACACTGCACCTAAGCGCTGGTTTACCGGCTCTTCTACACTTGTTATTATATTCAGGTCATACAGCGCGTCGTTTCTAGGAAATGCCATAGCATTAATACAATATATTAAAGAATTCATGTCATGATTATTCAACAAGTTATACGCAGACTGTCCACAACCTAACACACCCCTCTATTTTCTCATCCAGGACTTGAGACATGGTAACGACAGTATTTGTCAAATGACTAATGAAACTTTTAAATAAAAAATTGACATTCAATAAATTGCAAGAATGCATATGCACTTATGTAACAGATCAAGCTCAATGAGCTAATTAGCAAGCACAAGTTGTCGAGTAGGCTTGAGACAAACTATCTTGAACTTGTTAACTACGACTTGGCTCTACAACATAATGAACTTCCTAAACTATATGTATGATAAAGTTTATTGAATTTAAATATATAATCAACCCTAGCCTTATAACCAAACCCATCTACTATATCTGAATCAATTTTTCCATGTGCCACATCCCTCTTACCCTTGAACTCCTTTCAACTTATCTTCTTCATACTACTTCCCCATCTTCCTCCTCTCATAAACCTTGCCTTCTTTACTTCTTTTGTATCCTCCTTAACCCATAGTCTTCCTACTTTTCCTGGCATTCACTTCCTTTTTCTCCACCTTCTTAACCCTTCAACCATCCTCCTTTAGTTCCTCTACCAAGATGGTTGCGCTTTAGGATCAACAATGGGCCGTGGTCCTCTAACTCTTTGAAACCCTGGTCCGCTAACTCTTTGAAACCCTGCAGCTTTATTTTTTTGGCCACTATCTAATTGAAACAGCCCAAAGTTGGATTACACCTTTTCTTAATCCAAATCCCTTGAGCTTAGCAAGTCTAGCCAAAGCAAAGGTAAAGCTCAAATTCAAGCATTGGCTTGTGCGTGTTGTTGACAGAGCATGGGCACTCACTAAAAGAATGCTCAGTTGTTTAGTTTAACGGTTTGTCCTAAAAGCTTCAAAAGCTGGCAGTTCAAGTTGTTGCAGCAAAAATTGAGAAAATAATGAAAATAAGCTTTATCAAGAATGCTAAGCAACTTTATAAAAGTCATTCGTGAATAATGATAGCAAATTTTAGTTAATAGAAATTTAGCAACTATGCGTTCTTTGGTTCAAGCGCGTTCAAAACTTAAAATCACCTCAACATAGTAACTGAAGGCAAGCTTGCTTATGAGCAGTAGAATCCAAAAGAGAGTGTACCTGTGAAGACCCAATAGACGTTACTTGCAATTATATAAAAATGAAATGTGAGATAAGATGAAAACATATTTTACTTGAGAAGTGTGAACAAGTCCTCATGCATGCCTCTTCCTACATATAGCTTGGGCTGTTGCACGCGTAGAAATATGTAAGAAGTAACTCCAAAAAAACACTAGCAACTCAAGACGAAAGATACTTGCCTGAGCCCACCACAAAAGAAAAGTGATTACACGCCAATTAGAACGCTCCATGACTCTCCGAAGAGGTGGAACCATAAATAGCAAGGCAGCCAAAATGTTCGGTATCATATAAATAACAACAGCAAAGTTAAAAAGCGGCTGTCCTTGCCAATTGCTGGCCCAATTACTAAAAAATTTTATCAGTCCTGTGGGGTTCTGTACAGAACTAGAGTAGCTTATTGGAAGAATTATAACCCATGCAGTTGCTATTACAAATTTCAGGAGGTACCGAACTATTTGTGTGTATTGCATGCATCCCCAAGCCTTCCAACTAAGAACAATATCCAAGGCAGCTGTAAGGATCATGATCAAAGTTCAAACAGATCATTTCAAATGAACGCTATACTTACAATTTAGCTGATAAAAATATTTAATATCAAGCACGCTTATTAAATGAGAATAGCATTACCTTGGAGGAAATTGAGTAATGCTGCAGTAAGAAAAATACTTAATACACTTTTAAACACATCCGGGTCAAAGAAAGCAGTAACAGAGCCTGAAGGGCTCCAAGCAATGATCAGCATGGCCTGCAATAATATTTAAAAGACAATTCATATATCTGACAATAAGCACCTTAAAAGAAAATGATTGGGACTAGTTGTCCATTTGGAGCAGCTTTTTCGTAGCTTTGCCTTCTAGAAAGCTAAAACAATTCTATTTGGCTATTTTTTATTTCTTTTCAAAAAAATTTCAGATAAGAATTAGCTTTTTACAACTAGACCTATTATATTTTGATACCCGAAAAAAAAAATATTGTTGTCAAACTTTTTTAGAAAAGAAAATCTATAACATTCACAACAATTTAAAGAAAATATTAGAGACAAGTAGACAACTGCAATTGCCCAAAACAATTCCTTAATCATGAACTAAACTTAGTACCTGAAACGCCAATATGAAGAATGTCCACATACGATCAAAACTTCTAAATAGATGCCAAAATGTGCGAACTTCCACAAAATTTATTTTAGCCTTTCTTCTCCCAGCAACTTGGTCAACGTGCTGCAGTTATATGGATATGTGACAGGATCAAAATAATTACATTGATCCATTTTACATGAATATTCAATGCAAAAAGCATATAAGGATGCGAGTCAATGAAATGCAATCATCAGCAGGGGTCCGGCTTTTTAAATAGTTTTTTTTATCTTAAAAGGGCTCGGACTAGCACAAAACACGTTAGGGCCATCCTTTGAGGCAATTGTCCATTATTTTGGTCCTGTAGGATTTTTAGAAGGATAGGATCAACGGCTGCCCAGCCCATTTAATCACCCTACACATGGGATTCAACAAACAGCTTATTCCAAACAGTGGCAGCACCCTGCACATCCTGGAAAATGACTTGTAAAGAGTACTAAGGAGATGTTCAGGAAATGGGAACTCATTGAATAAGAAGATACATTGAAGCAAGTTAGCATTAAAATTTTCAAACTTTATTAAAATGCAAGCATGTGTTTATTCACAAGGATCATATATATATATATATATATATATTTGTGTGTGTGTGTATGAATATATATAAATGGGGGTAAACTTCATAATAGTCCCCTAACTATTCTTAAATGATCAATTTAGTCTCAAAGTATCATGTTGCTCCAATTTAGTCTCTTGACTATACAAATTGATTCAAAATAGTTCCTATGGGATTAATTTTCTATAGTCGAGGAACTAAATTGGGATCAATTTTATATCAAAATTACAACATGAGCGACCATATTAATATCAATTTTGTAAAGTCGAGGAACTAAATTCAAGCAAAAAAAATACAAAATTAGGAGAATTCACAAAATTCAAATATTCAACTGAAATCTATTGCCACAAAGATAAAAGTAATAACCCATCCACCCTCTACAATAACTTGGCAAGGGTGGTAAGTTTAAGAATATTCTCAAGTCAAAATGGGATAATATCTAGTCGAGCATATCTTTACAATCGCTCTCAAATGATTTCGCACAAGTAAGGATATGGCATGTGTTATTAAACCGGGTGGTTTTGGAGCTAGATGGGATTACTAAATAACGATTATAATCAGAACCCTCTTGGGTTTTGTAATAAAATGACAACATCAAATTATGGTCACGGTCATAGCCCAAATATTTCTCAATGGCTCCAAATTCCCTTAGTGGCGAATCATAGGGCACATTTGATAAGGCACAAAATCTTTTGTTAGCTATTAAGGTCGAATTCAATTTGTACTCTTAAATAAACATCCACCTAGGTCTGCAAGGTCCCCTAGGACAACACAACTAATGACTGGGACAAAAATCTTTTCGTCATATTTGGTCGACTATCTCATCTGACTAGTATATTAAGGGTCATGACAAACCAGAATAATAAAACATGGGATCTTGATTAGGTTCATCATCATCCCCCCACAATCCACTTTAAGGTGATGGTAGTAATTTTCCTTCAACTTTAAAAATAAATTTGTTGCTAATATAAAGTAAGAACTTAGAATCAATCTAATGAATAATCTTAATTGAAAGTTTGATATCATCATCAAGAGTAAATAATAATAGGGGCTTGCACCAATGGGAACTCTAGCACCAAATCATAAAATCTTCTGTTCTGAAAAGTTGACCCAAAATACTCAAATTTCTCCCAACAGAGCTGGGGTACAAATTTTCAGAGCCATAGATCATCCACAAAATACACTTTTTCTTTAAAAAATATTTACATGTATTTAGAAACTTAACATGCAAATAATGGAGTATATTCCCAATTATTAAATCAAAAAGAAAACAATGATATTTTCTTTTTCCAACAGCTGAATCTCTGTTAGAAGGCATACCGAACTTAGTTGACAGAACACAAAGTTACCATGTAATAATTCTGTTTAGTAACGTTTGGAATCAATTATTCATCTGGCACCATTGTCATGATCATGCATTGAATAAAAAAATGATGCCAGCATTGTATATCATTCTTCAGCAGTATTAAAATTTGCTTCCAGGTTTGTGGCATTTTTTTTTTTCAGGTTTGTGGCATTTCTAATCTAGTTAAATATCTTTCTAAGGTTAAGACTTATTCTTCATGTCTGTTTTTTTTTTTATTGATGCAATTTACTCTAGTAAAATATAAGAGCAACTCAACATATATTGACTGAGAAAAAATCCCTTACCTCAGTTTTGCGATGTGTCTCTTCTACAAAAAAATCTGCATTATGATTCAGAGGCCAACCTATTTTAAAACATTCTTTTGACCTACAGAAAAGTATGTGCTCTGTTAAGCAGTAATTTCAATAAAACGTAAGTAGAAAAAAACAGTTAAATAATACAAATGATACTGACCAAAAATATTCATTTAAATCATCATAGTTTCTCCATTTGGAATGGCTACTTGTACCCCCTTTATTTCTTAGAGCTTCCTATTATTCAGAAAGACGGGGAAAAGAAAAATGCAAACATTTTGGAAACCTTAAACACTCAATAACATTTTCTTGACGTCTGCATCGAAATTTCTTAAATAGAAAAATAAGATAAGAGATTTAGAAACATTGCAGTACCTTGCGCATGACCAAATAGATGGGAGTTACAACCTCCTTCAAAAATGATTCTTCCCCTTGATATGCAGGTTTAAAATACCCCCCACTAGCCGAATGAACATTGCCAAATAAGATTGCTCGCAGCTCATTTGCCATCTTGTGAAGATTCAAATACACGATGAAAACTAAAATAGCAAGTGCTTAACGTAGAAATAGGTAAAGCTACCAAGCAGCAAACCTAATAGAATCCAGTGGACGTAACTCAGTAATTATAAAATATGAAAATTCATTTTGCTCAACCACATTGACGCTTTTTAATTCTGAGTTTGGATAGTTACAAATATCAAGTAAAAATGAAATATTATCTATTCCACATAATTTAACAAACAATTCCAATAGTAAGCATCATTTAAGAGAAAAGAATCAAATTAAACCCACTATAAGTTGCATTAATCAGAAGAAAAAACTCAAATATTCTTCATTAAGCACATAGAACAATAATAATGATGATAAACTATTTGACTACGTAGAATCAAACAAGCTCCCTACAGAATGACTTGTAAACCATAGAAACTGACATCATGCCACACACCCATCAAGGTATGGAAATGTTACTTCCTCAAAGCATTCAAAGAAGGACACCATGTATATCTAGCCTGAATGCGAAATAACAGGCATTTATATTCCATTATAACATTTTTCAAGACTACAAATGGCAGAGATTATGACGCGGCATCCAAAAGGATTCACCTCTCGGCAAACTTTCAGATAAAAACAGAAATCTCAACCTAATGATTCAAGTCAATGCAAATCAAGTAAAGCTAAGATCAACATCATAAAGTAATCACAATTACATGACACTATGGTCCACAATAAATCTAAAGCAATAACCTAGCTCGGAAAGACTACTCACATTATGGAATATATAACATATGCATTCAGGCATAAAGCGAATATTTGAGGATTCACCCCATATCAATAGATAGAGTCCAATATAAAGAAGCTCCAACTGTTGTGTTGCGGCATGAGCTGGGAACCTGCATTTACAGGACAGATCATGTTCATGGTCTTCGCATCCATGTTATAATGTGTTCTACGGATGACAAAAATCTTAATTAATGAGGGATCACAGAACTTACTTTAAGTTTGACTCGAGATGTAAATAAGCACACCAAGACTGATAGTTCTTAGATATTTTTTCCAACAAATACCTCACTGTACCACTATCCAACTGTGAATACCAAGTTAATATTCTCTAAATTAACACAATAATGGCTAACATGAACTACCAAATATAACTGAAAAAGATAGAACTATCAGTGAGAAACATATCACCAGAGAATAATCTTCATGGCTTTTATTTCTTATGTCAATGTTTGCAAGCAACAAAATCAAGTGCTCCCTTTGATTATCCACATTCCCTTTCTTCAGAACAACAATTTAAATTTGTGAGATTTCAAAAATCTTATTCGAAATATTTATGTGAACACTAAACATGAGAGAAGTCATCTAAAAGTAAATAAATGTCAAAAACTCTGATAGCAGAAGAAAAAAAGCAAAAGCAATGTTCTAAAGGAACCACTTAACACCTGAAACCCGAAGACAAGTAGAAGCCAATCAAGCAAATCTTTGACAGATCTATTCCCATCCTCAGGTATCAAAGATCCATCAACTTTCAGTGGCACATTCTCTGATGAATTTAATCTAGGCATTGGAAGACCATCCACATTCTGCAGAGCATGGACTGCTGCTCTTATCTACATTATCCAAAGGTAATGGTGACATCGCATTTAGTTGATAAAAATTGGCAACTATGTAGTTTAAGGAGCAAACATATATCCAGATTGATAAAATTGTACTGACCTCTGGAAGTTGCATGATTGGGGAGGCAGCACCAGAGGCATGAAGAGGAAGAATGTTATAATGAGTAAAATGAACTTTTTTCCTCTCAACTTCCCGAGCATACCTATTAATCTGTAAGTAGTTAAATCTTAATAAACTACCTTTTAAACTCACAAGAGAAGATGGAAGATTGTAACACGGAGCCTTATAAACAAAGGGTAAGCGAACCTCATCATCTACTCTATCAGAGGGTACAACAAGTTTCAAGACATCATATAATACTGATGCAATCTGATAATGCTTGGCCATCTCCTCACTAACAAAATGCGCAATCAGAACATATACAAAGAAATAAGAAAATAAGTAAACAAAAAGAAAGTGACATGCAACTTCTAACTATAAAAGACAAACAATCCCAAAGCCTTACGGTTTTCTTCTTGTGGGTCCCTCTTTGACATAATTCTCATAGTACCACTGGTAGAACTTTTGGATTTCTCTTGGATCACTTCTAGCAAGTTGTGGTTTTGTTTCTGCCTCCTCCTGCCACCATGAAAAGAAAGAGATTTGCAGGCTTGAAAAAAAAAAATTTATGTGAAACATTCTAGGAGGTCATGAGTTGCATGAGTCTATGGAAGAGATGCACTCTTGGAGGTTGTTAGGATACATGAATCTATAAGAAAGATGCATGCAGAAGATGCATTGAAAAAATAAAAAATCAGTAAAACTATGCTCGTACAAAGACTTGCTGTTGCTGTGATCAATTGATGGTTGTACGTTATATACAATCTACAAAACTATAGCTGCAATAAGCCTGATGGACCAGGCTCTTCCTGTTTTCGATGGTTTAGCGAGCAAATTCAATATGAAGAACAGAACTTTATTTTTAGAATAATGAACTCCAAAATATGGATTAGAATTAATAATATGAAGCATGAAAAATCAATAAGCCTGGTATAATGAACTCCAAAATTTTCAAGCATGAAAAATCAGCTTTAGGAACTTCCTGACTTTTGCTTTGTAAAGTGCAAACTACATTCTAAAAATTTTAAACAAAACTTTTTTTTTCTTTTCATTACTTTACCATATGTTAGGATGACCCATGCAACCTTAAATTCACATGATGTATACAATCACAGCAGCAAAACCAATCCTCTTCATAAGTTCAAAGCAGGACAGCACTTTATGTTGTTTTCTTCTTGGCAACTTATATATATATGGAGATAAAGGCATACCTTTTCAAGCCTATGTAGAAGATAGGTCTTGAATTGACGTACACCACGACCACTTGAAGTGGGATCCAATTTGTGAGCCTTCTCAAATGCATGAAATCGACCTAATTAGAACTCAGCGGAAAGCATGTTAGCAGCAATTCTGGAGAAAAATAAAGCCTACCAACAATTACATCTAATGATGTGAATGGAACATCGACCCAAACAAGTTGACTGATAACTTTTACATACACTGACTTAAGTCAAAATGGAAAACAACTATCTTAAATTTTGGGCCTAATGCTTGAACTTCCAGTACATTGGGAATACAACGAACATAGACACACCTTTTCCCCAGAAGCATATGTCAACTGATAACACAAAGAAAACAATAATTTTTCAATGAAGCACAGATACACAGATGAATTACAAATGTGACAGAGGCAAAAACTGGACACAACAAAACCAATTTCAAAAATATTAGGACAAAACAAGCCTAGGTTAAGCAATTACTTCACAACAATTCATTATGTTAGAAAGCAGCAGAATATGGATTAGAATTATTAATATGAAGCGATTTTGTAGATACTCTACAAACGCAAAGCTTAAGAATGTAAGGAAAAAAAACAAGGGATAAGAGAGCAGAGGCATGGAGATAGGAGAAGGTAAGTAAAAAATGTTACTTCACTTTATTATCTCCGACTCCATGTTTCATTGATTTCAAGGAGCACTGTTGGAAAAATTTTGTCATCCTCAACAGATTGCATATTTTGTGATCAAACATGGCATATAAAATAATATCATCTCGAGGATAAAAAAATACTATTTTCTTATGGACTCAATAGCAAAATTTATAATTTTAATTTTAATAGAGCTTTCCCCCATTAAATATTTGGTTGAATGAAATTTATTTTATTATGAGGTACAGATATCCCATAGGGGCAAGCCCCTATTGTTAATTATATCTCAAGTATGTGTTGCTTGAGAAAACTTTTAATTAAACCAGTGGTTTTCTTTTCTTTGAGAGTCATCAAAATATTGACTAATATTTTTATTTCAAAATTCATAAAATTCTTATTTAAAGATTTTTTTCTTTAGGAATTTCAAGAATGAAGGAATTAACTTTAATCATTTTTTTGGAATGAGAGCTAAAAGGAGGAAAATATAGGAGCACATGATTCTAAGAAAGCTCAGAGGTGCTCGGACTATCTTATATTAGATTTTACACTTTAAAATCAAATTTTTGTTTAGGTTGACAATTTTAATTTAGAATATTGGTGCTTACATTCCAACAACATATGTTCGAGGAAATGCTCGGAAGATGAGGGCTTATGAAGTGATTGAAGTCAACAACTATCTTGGACTCTAGAACTAAGATGAAGACTAATGAGGGGTAGGCTTCAAACTTAAGTCAAACGGAGTGTAAGGGACTTATAAACTATACCTTACATAGTCACATAATGCATAGTCAGCCCGACTTATGAATTTATTGCTCTACCTGGAAAGAGATACTAGCTAACCTACCTAAACGCTTTTAAAACTATGAAATATAGTCTCAATGCATATGAAGAGTAGAAAAGGTTGCTTTTCATTTAGAGGATAGTGATACGGCGGTTCTTCCGGAACCGCCTCCTCCTGAACCGCCTAAGCCCCAAATAGAAAGGCCGGCAATTGTGTATCAAAGGAAGAAATCTCGCCTCTGTGGGCTCCGAAAATTCGGCCTCGGCCTCCCCACCGCGCATTGATTGCTTTTTCTTTTCGAGCGAGGGAGTTTTAACGGAATAAGTTCCAGGGTAAATTTTGGAAGGCAGATGGATTGTAGATAAGACATTACCCAAAGATTTCTCCCTCATTTCGTAAGGACTTTATGATCTGAGTTCTGGTTTCCTATAGGCGCAAGCCCCTATAGTTAATTACCCCTCCCGATAACAAGAGAACTTTCGATTAAGGCTAGTCGGCAATCAGATACGTAAAGATACACGTGTTATCTAGCTTATAGTAGCAGCAATGGGTTTGGGATTTGGAAAGTTTTGATATTTTGATGGAATTGATATTTAAAACATAAATTGCACTATCTTGCACTTAAAGCGGATGGTGGGGGAATGGATGATAAACCCGATCAAGATCCCATGGTTCCGTCGTCCTGGGCCATCGTGATCCCTGGTCTACATAGTCAGAGGAGGTAGTCGACCCAACCTGACATAAGGATCCTTGTCGGCAGCCATGGGTTGCTTCGTCCAAGGGGACCTTGTAGACCTGGGTTGAATGTTTGTCTAAGGGGACAAATTTAAATCCACCTTAGCTAACAGAGGGCTTTGTGCCCTATCGATCATATCCTATTGATTCATATCTCAAGGATTTGATGTCAATAAGGAGCGTATTGGCTCTGGCCATAACCGGTATTTCGTTGTGCCATTTGGCGGCAAAACCACTCGGTTTAGAGGGCCCCGGGTCACCGTTTATCCAGCGGTGCCATTTGGCAGCAAAACCGCCGGTTAGAGGACGCGTACCACGTCTTTACTGGCAGGAGATTGTTTAAGAATGGATCCTAGTGATATTGTCGACTAGGCATTTGGCTCTTTATGAGCTGAAGTAATTTTTAATTTGTCCACCTCGACAAACTGTTGCGGAGGGTGGATGGAATTTTACTTTAAGTGTTGGGATTGATAGTTTCATTTTTAAATATTTTTGAAATTTTTGTGGAGTTTTGGATTTTTATGGGTATTTGGACTTTGTGGAGTTTGGAAGGCAATTGAAATGTTTGGAATGGACCCATTCGGTTGAGATTTGCATTCAATACGGCCATCATAGGGATATTTGGGGTCATTTCTCTTTATGGATTGAATCTTGTCAACTCTGCCAAGTTATCGACAGATGATTGGATTTCGTAGGTTTTATGTCTTTGTTAGTGAATTCATATTGTTATAGGCCTTGAAGGCCTAATATGAATGTATTAAAAACAAATATACAGGTCACCATAATCTTATATTTACTTAAAGGTTCGAACCCTGTCGACTCCTATTGATCTGTATAGGAAGATCGGGTTCAAACTAGAATTCACTTGTTAACCCGCGCAGCATCCCTAGACGTCACGTGTATACTAATAACACGTTCGTCGGAGCCCATGTGGGTGTTTGGGGGCATTTTATATTTGAACCCTGTCAACTCATTTTATCTACTTAAAAGGATCGGGTTCAATTTTAATAACTTGTGCAGCATCCCTAGACGGCAAGATGTCACGTGTGTACCAATAACACGCTCGTCGGGGCCCTTGCAGGTTTTATGATTATTTTTATCTCTTTTGGTGTACCTATGTGTATACAAGCTACAGTGCATGTGCAGGGGTATTTTGAAAGTATTTGTAGACGCCTTCTATCCGCTTGCATAGAAGTTGCGGATCCGGTGGCGTGCTGTAGCAGCTTTTGAATTGAATTGTTCGCCGCTTTATACAGGTAGACTGTCGTGTACTACTTGTTGCTTTCTGCAGGTGGATCGTAGTACATTAACGAATCTCCTGCTTTTGTTCGTATGGAGAGTTGCATTTGTTATAGACATGGTCCCTTTATTCGTGGTCAGCTCTCTTTACATATAAGTCTTCTAGAACCGATCGTAGGCTTTTGCATTTGCTACTGTTCCTCTACATTTTCTCGTAGGTAGCATTTAGTGTAGATGATATATAGGTCTTTGACAACATCATTGAAGCCTTCTACTTGTGGGGAGAGAACTGTATTTGCTTACATGACTGATTGTGGGAGAGTTTGAGGGACTTCAATGTATTCGTGGCATATTCCTAATAACCATCATGAGTCATCCCTTCCACTTGTAGTTTTTGCATTTATGGAAGATTCCCATTATGAACCATATAGACTTATTTATTTCATTGATGTGTTGTGTTCTGCTTGAAGGTGGCATGCCACATCTGTTTGTGTGCCCTTCAATACTTCAGTCATGAGTATATTACCACACACTACTACTATCATCCGTGGATAACTCTTTATATGCAATGAAGCTCCTCTATTGCTTAATATATTTTCTTGCAGTGGCTCGAATGTTGTAGGTTCATTAATCTTTATTGTCCTCTACGATCATCCACAAATATTCATAAGCTCTCTATAGCTTCTTGTAAATGAACTACTGTATGTATGATAGGGTCACATCCTTGCTCATAAGTGTATTATTTTGTCCACCACAAGTCCTCGACTCATGCTTGTATATGAATGGTTGATCATTATAAGTTTCTCACAGTCATCTACAAGCAGGTTATTGTGGATATTATAAGTCATTTATTCATTAAGCCATTTATTAGCATTTGCATCTCTATGTGAATGCAAATTTATTGAATCAAAACTTGGTTGCCCGTTGTTCATACAAGTATGAGTATTATTGCATTATATTCTCGTTCTTTTCAAGTTATGACTCAAGCTTAAGTCTCAATTATTCAAGTCTTCTTCGAGTTCTTGCGAGTTCAATTTCAAGTCAAAGTTCTCATTTTGCTCGAGTCCAAATCAAGCCTACACATCCGCTGTCAACTTGTCCAAGTCCTTGTTCAAATTCAATTGAAGTTCAAGTTTAAGTGCAGTTCCGTTTGAGTCCAACTCAAGTCTTATGTTGTTCTTGTAGAGTTCGAGTTCAAATCATGTTCTTGTTCTAGTTCAAATCCCAAATAAAGGTCCTCTGTGGTCTTTGAGTTTAAATTCAAGTTTAGATTGAGTTCATTTAGTGTCTTTTTGAGTTCAGATGAGTCCAGGCACGATCTCGTTTCACCCGAAATTTCGGCACCCTCCCAGCGTCTCCCCCGTTTAGGGGAAAACTATGAGAAAACTGGGTCTTTCCCACCACGCGCAATAAAGGCGTGTATGGTAGGTGTCCTCGGACGAGAACACCGCGGCAGCGATTTTTTGTTCCTCCCACCACGCGCAATAAAGGCGTGTATGGGATCTTTGACGGTTTCTGTTTAAAAGACACAATTTACTTTCCCCCCGCTCGGGGGTACTTATAAGTGACCCCGTCTCGCCGTAGGTGTCGCACCGTAGTCTCATCCCACCACGCGTAATAAAGGCGTGTATAGGAGGTTTTTCGATGCGCCACGAACGCCGAAGTAGGGTTTAGGTGATTGCCCGCCTCG